TTTTGAAAACCATTTTAGAAATCATTTTGAAAACCTTTCCTTAATTTGAGACTGGATTCACACGCATGTTCCTCCAATTCACTCAAAACAAGGCTCTGATACCAACTTCTAACACCCATAAAATTCAAGCCAATTTAAAACTTTTAAAACATATCCAAACCATTAATCATTGCAAAACTTGTTTTCAAAATGTATTATATCAGAGTATCCCAGAAGCAAAGTCATAAAAAGTGAGGAGTTGTACGATCACGCATTTGCCTTCCCACGATCCCCTGATGTACCTGAAACAATAAACTGAAACTGTAAGCCCAAAAGCTTAGTGAGTTCCCCCAAAATACCCATACCCGCAACAATACTCATATAATCATAAACAACATACTATGGGTCCAGTCAACCATCGGGTTGGAATACCCCAGCCCCTCAACCATCCGGTTGGAATGCCAACACACTATGGGTCCAATCATCCTCGGGATGGAATACGCCAGGCCCACAACCAACAGGTTGGAATGCCCACATACTATGAGTCCAATCATCCTCGGGATGGAATACTCACGGCCCACAACCAACAGGTTGGAATGCCCAGGTCTATTGGCTTTCACACAAAGCAAATAAGCCTCAACCGCCAAACAAACATGTGCACATATAACAAATATTCACATAACAGTCTATAGACAATACTTGATCTAACGGATCATACCACATAACACATAATACCATCCCATCTACCGGGATGCCGATCTAACAGATCATACCACATGTCATATAATGTTATCCTACCCTCTAGGACACCGAGCTAACAGATCATACTAGCATAACATAACCATATAACAATTCGAAGGGCCGGCCTTGGTGCCTTAGACCCTTGAGTATAGTAAGGATAACTCACCTCGCAACTGTCGTCTGAAACTAGAAAGCTCAACTCCCGGATCACCAACACGAACTCCACCACCTATAGTTACCATAAAACCCTATTTCATAAATTTCCAAATTGCCACAATACCCTCAGAAGTTAACTGGTCAACTCTTGGTCAAAGTCAAAGTCCACATTCAAAGTCAACATTCCATGTTGACTCGACTCGTCGAGTCCTCCCTGAACTCGAGAAGTCGTGAAATCCTTGGTTGACTCGTCGAGTTTCCCTTTAACTCGCCGATTTCATACGTGTCCAAAGGTTGGGAAAACCCTCGCCGACTCGCCAAGTCACTCGACTGACTCGCCAAGCCCACGACAACCTTCATCGGACTCGCCGAGTCGTTCATTCAACTCGCCGAGTCTACGACAATCTTCATTGGACTCGCCGAGTCGATCATACAACTCGCCGAGTCTCTTCAGTCCTTTATTCATACAGACGATTTTAAGCCATGCTAAGGCTCCAAATTATAGATCCAGCTTCCTAATGCACGTTTATCACGTAAAGTTGCAAACTTTACGTGCATGCAAGGCTCTAATGACTAGTAATGCCAAAACTAAACTTGAAATGGAGTTTAACTCAAAAGGAAGGGTTCATACTTGCTAAAGCTGTAAGCTTTATGGACCTAAAGACCAAGGAGAGTTCAGATCTGAAGTTGCAACTTCAGATCTTAGCTCATACCCAAGAATAGCTTGATAACATGATGAAAAGCCCTAATCCTCAACCCAAAAGAGATCTAGAAGGAAAGAAGGTCAAGGTAACGACTTGATACCTTCAAATGATGCTATCTGAGGTAGATTTCAGGTCCACACAAGCTCCTTGCTGCTAGCTACTTGATGTTCAAGTTCCTTTTTCTAAGAATCTTCTTCCAAAGCTTGAAACACACAAATGGAGCACACACACACATATTAGGGTTTTGCCGAACTCTCTAGAGGCTGCAAAGGTAGGCTAAGGGGCAAATGGGCCTTTAAATAGGATGCAAAACCCCAGAATTTAGGGTTTCATCCTCCAGCTCCTACTCGTCGAGTCCCTTATTGGACTCGGCGAGTAGGTCACTAAAACACGCGGCCCAACCCGCTGCTACTCGACGAGTAGGGCAACCAACTCGTCGAGTAGACCTTGAAAACAAGAAAATTCTTATATAAAATCGATACCTGAGAATCGAGGCGTTACAATTCTCCCCCACTTGAACTAGACTTCGTGCTCGAAGTCTGCTGCGGCGAACAGTTCCGGATAATGCTCCCGCATCTCTGCTTCTGGCTCCCACGTCTACTCGGACCCCTTCCGATGCTCCCACTGTACCTTCACCAAAGGTATCTCCTTGTTCATCAGAGTCTTCATCTTTCTCTCCAGTATGGCCACGGGCCTCTCCACGTAATTCAGGCGCTCATCGACCTGAATATCATCCAGCGACACCACCGTCTCCTGATCCATGATGCACTTTCGCAGCTGCGAAACGTGGAAAGTGCTGTGGATCCGACTAAGCTCCTCCGGCAGCTCTAGTCTGTAAGCCACCTTGCCAACCCTGGCAATGATCCTGAACGACCCAATATATCGGGGACCCAATTTTCCCCTCTTCCTGAAGCGGATCACACCCTTCCAGGGCGAGACCTTCAGGCCCAAAAAACGTCGTAGTATGGTGAGTTTGGGTACCTAAGCTTATATACCCTTAAGGGTATATTCACTTTTCTCACATACTCTTAAGGATATATATATATATATATATATATATATATATATATATATATATATATATATATATATATATATATTGTATCGAGTGACCACTCAAAAATAAAATCGGACTACGAAAACAAATTTATCCCGCATGATTGAAAAAATAAAATGTGGATATTTGATTTTATTTATCATTAATATCTCACGAAATGATATGACGTTTTGTAATTATGTTCAAGATCTTGACATTTTTCGGAAATGTTAATTGTTTAGAGGTTAAATTAATAAAAAGAAAGAGGAAACAAAAACGAATAAAAAACCCCCTTCCAACATACATCCCCCCCCCCTTCCCCCTCATATTTTCTCTCTCTGTCACATATCAATCCCTCATTTGGTGGATTTTTTTCCACTCACATCGTTTTTTGGCCATAAGTTTTTTTTCTTTGAAAAAAAATCTGAAAAAACCATAGTTCTTAAAATTTAATTCTCTATAAAAGAAGCACAATCATGCAAATTTGGAAAAAAATTATTTTTTTTAATAAAAAACCTAGAGAATTTTTTTTCCGAAAATCATAAAAATTTAATGAATACTTCTACTCAATATATTGATAACTTTGTAAAGAGAACTTTTCAAAAATAAGTTTTTGAAGTATTTATTTTTAATTTTAAGAAAAAATAATTTTTAAAAAAATATATTGAACATAATATGATCCAAAATGTGATTATCCAAAATATTTATGATTCAAAAAACTTTTGCTTCAACTTATTTATGATCCTTAATTTGTTATGATCTAAAAATATTTAGACTCAAATATTTTATAATCCTTAATTATATCTTTTATGTTTCAAAATTAAATAATTCAAAATATATAATGATTCATAATTTTTTTGAACAAAAAAACTATATTTCATTGAATATATTATTGATCCAAAATGATGCGATTCAAATACGATTTGATTCAAAATACTATAATTCAAAATAATTTGATTCAAAATTTTTTGATCCCAAAATAATATGATTAAAAAATGTATGAACGGAAAATATTATGATCATTAATATTTTTCTTATTTAAAATGTTATAATTGTTAAACATAAAAAACTCAAAGCGATATTTAGTTTAAAAATAAAATAGTAAAAATAAATCAAAAATAAAAACAAAAAATAAAGAAAAACACTAGTATCTTCAACTATGTAGTAAATATATTAAAAAAACGAACAAAAGAAAAAAAAATAATTAAAAAAAACGAAAAAAATAAAAAAACGAAAAAAAATATAAAAAAAAAACAAAATTAAAAACGTTAAAACCGAGCATATATCTATTTAATTTTTTTTAATTAATACCAAGATCATTGAGCCACTGGAATTAATGCGTATTGATCTCTGTGGTCCATCAACTATTGAAAGCATTGACGGTAACAAATACATTTTAGTTATTGTTGATGATTTTTCTCGCTTTACTTGAGTATTTTTTCTTAAACAGAAATCCGAAGCGACTCAGAAGCTAATTGATTTCATCAAGCAAGTTGAACTTAATTGTGAAAGCCTGTTTGGAAAATTCGAAGTGATAACGGTTCAGAAATTTAGAAATCATGCATTTGAAGAATTATTGACAAGCAAATGAATTTCTCACAATTTCTCTTCACCTTACACTCCACAGCAGAATGGTGTAGTTGAATGATAAAATCATTCTCTCTGTGAAGCTGCAAGGACAGTGCTCTCATTTGCGAATCTTCCTATATATTTATGGGCTGATTCTATCGCCACTACTTGTTTTACTCAGAATCGCTCATATATTAACAAATGTTTTCTGATTACTCCTCATGAAATTCTGAACAATCGAAAGTCTAACGTTAAATTCTTTCATATGTTTGGATCCATGTGCTTTTTGTTCAATTTAAAAGAACATCAAAACAAGTTTGATGTGAAAGCTGATGAAAGAATCTTTTTGGGATACTCGTTGACATCCAAGGTGTATCTTTTTGGGATACGCATACATGTAATGCAAATAATAGACGTGTAATTACATGTTGGTCATTTAAATGCAATTAATAAGCTTGTATATACATGTTGTAGGTTTGAATCGAAGCCAATGAATGGCAGTTTGATGTGGCCTACTACTTCATACATTCCACCATTACCTCCCAAAAGCATACATTAAAAGGAAAAGACATCCATGAATCATAAAATAGGCCAAAAATTACCAAAAAGGGAGTGCTTATGACTTGTAGCATTTGCAAAGCTAGGGGTGATAACAAATCAAGATGTCCAAAAAAGGAAAAAGACATATCCTACTCGTTAATCCCGCTGAAAAATATTAATTAATGCAAGTTTTTCATATTTAGGTACTTCAAATGTCAAGACCAAAAAGAAGCTTAAACCTAGAAAAAAGAAGATTATGCAAGTTTTTCATATTTAGGCCAAAGTTTTTCATATTTACCTTTTGATAGCATTAATTTAGTTTAATGGTAACAGTTTCCATAGTTTGTTCATTTTCCCAACTTTAAAAGAGTTGCTAGTTGCTACACATCGAAATACATCATGTCCCATTCACCCTGTTGCACCAGGATTTTTTGTTATGGGTAAATCCCCATCGTAACTGCATCTCGGAATATCTGGATTTCTCACCACCCGTGGCCCTACTGGAACCTTCTTAGTTTTTGGACGAATATCCTGCAACAAATTCAAAGAACATCACTCCCTGATTATGTCATTTCTACGTGATTATTATCAGGTATGTCCAAGTTCAGATGCAAGTAAAGTACCTGATCAAAAATAGCAGTTGGAATCGCTAGAGTAGCAACAGCATTTGGAGCATCCACAATTCCCGAAATCCTTCCTTCGCATGGACAACACGACAGTAGAAGATAAACCTAAAATCCACCATGAATTCAAATCGTCAATCAAATCATCACAGTGTTTGCGATTATCTTCAAGGAATTTGAATTTCACCTGTTCTTTCGAGTACCCAAATTTGGAGACATAATCGATCGCGTTCAGAACTGCACGCTTATAAGCAACACTCGCATCAAGGTAATGTTGTCTTCCACTTTCATCAACGCTTATTCCTTCAAATACAAGCCATTCTGAGAATCTAGGCTCCATTGGTCCGATCTCGAAAATAGGGTTTACATGAAGAGGAGTAGGTCCCATTGGAGTTAGGTATTCTTTCATCCCCCCTCGTATTATCTCACACCTAATAACCAGTTAAAATTAGAACAAAGTGTATCAATGGCGGTTTATGAGATTTGAGATAGATGATTGTACTTGAGCTCAAGGAATCCACTCATCTCAATTGCCCCACAAAACGAAACTTCACCATCGCCTTGTGAGAAGTGCATATCACCTGTACTAAAGTTAGCACCTTCAACAAACACTGGAAGGTAAATTTTTGAACCTCTACTAAGATTCTTAATGTCACAGTTTCCTCCATTTTCTCTTCCTGGAATCGTTCTTGCAGCTTCATTGGCAATCTTCTCCCATTCTTGAGTTCCTTCTGGAATCTACAGGTCTGAATTAGTAAACATTTTCTCTACTCATAGTAGTGATTACATTACATTACAATACCTTGCCAAGAAGACAGCCTTTTGTTGATGGGAGATTCGCCAATGGCCTTGAATGTAAAACTTCACATAACCTTAATGATTTTAGACCGTTTTCTTCAAGCTCTTTCTCCCTTTCATTCCATATATTAAGAAGTTCCATTGAAGGCGCAGTTCCAATTATTCCAGGGTGTGTTATACCCGGAAAACGTACACCAGGTATATGAGGAGAGTAAGCATATATTCCTTCAAAATACCAAATTGCTTTTGTGGCACAAGGGAAATGATCAGTGAGAAACCCGCCACCGTTTTCTCTGTCAAAAATCGCCGTAAACCCCCATTCATCGCCGGGAAGAGGACCTAAATTGCATATCTCAACCGCAAGAAGATCCCCTGGTTTAGCCGCTTCTCCTTCCTCATCAACAACCCTAATCGGCCCACTCAGATAATGCACCTGAAAATCAATTTTATTTTATCAAATCATATATATACAGAATCTATGAAATTAATAAATTATTATGATTCATACAGTTCCCGAGAGTTGACTTATCTTATAAATTAATTCCATACAAATTCTTTACACTTACAGTCGAAAGGTCTAAGTGTTTAACATCACTAGCGGAATTGTCATCTTTTATAGCACCTCCGGTCCAGTCCACCATCTCCACCCTGAAAACTTCTCCGGTCTTAACGGTGGCAACCGGTGGTATCTCAGGGTGCCAACGATTATGTAAGGGTAGCTTTTGCTCCCATGGCTTCTTTTTTAGGTCAATAGGTACCACTAGTTTTGGTGTTCTAGGAGCCATAGATGAATTGTGACTATGTGTCTCTGTGTAAGTAAGAATTAAGAAACTAAAGAACTAAGAAGATATGATAATATGAATCTTTTTCAGGGAGACGTTGACTACATTTTGGGCTTAATTGTTAATTGGGTTATTGGGCCTAATTGTGATTGGTTGAAATTGAACGGATTTAAAAGCATGATGACTCACAACAGACTGATCGGAGTATTTGATGTCTTCGGCTGTGTATTCTTTGGTGATACCACCACCGGAAAAGTCCACCATTTCTACCCGGAAAACCTCCCCGACAGTGACCTGAGCCACCGGTGGTATGTCGGGGTGCCACCGGTTGTGAAGGGGGAGCTTCTGTTGTCGTGGTTTCTTGGTGACGTCAATTGGCACCACGAGTCTTGAACCATGTTGAGCCATTTGATGATTAAACCTCTAGTCTGGTAATAATGGTTGTCAATGTTTATTTGAGAGAAAGAAGACATCTTGGAGTTCGAAAACTATTTTGGCCATCGTTTTCAATTGGGGAAATTGGTTGGCTGCCGTTAATTGGTTGTAGTAGGAGTGGATGAATAGGATAATTGATTGAGATGATGGACCATTTAATTATATACATGAAGATAGTCTCAAATCAATAGTACTCTCTTAGTTTTACTTTTAGAAATGTAAGGTTGGATCAGTAAATATAGTTTAAGGAATATACGTATTTGATTACTAGTGTAATTGTGATTTTTATGTTTTTTGTATTGGCGGTTATCTTACTGTAATTGGAATTTATACATTTGTATATGTGAATGTGATATCGAACACAACAAAAGGCAGAGATGTCTAGGAGGTCACACCTCTATATGGTCGAGAAGTTGACATGAAACCTCTACAAGATTTTAGATAAAAAATACAGTGAAAACCAATGTTTTAAAACCCGGGTCGACCCGGCCGGTTCAACCGGTTGGATCGTGACCCGGGGTAGAAGGCGGGTCAATTGAGACCGGGTTTTTGTAAAAATACGAACCGGATCGAACCGGCCGGGTTTCCCCTAAACCGCGGTTCGACCGCTTATGTTGAACCGGTTAAACCGGATTGACCCGTTTCAATAGAGTTTGGATAGTTGGATACAAGTAGCGAACGCCAAAACAACGAGCCGTTTGCGGTTTCTTCAATGTTTTTTAATGTTTAAACTTTGTGGACATCAAATTATTGGTTTTATATGTTTATGCATTATGCATGAAAATAAAAATATATAGAAATAGAAAAAGACCATAAACCGGGTTGACCCGGCGGTTCAACCGGTTGAACCGATTGACCCGTGAACCGGTCATCACACCAGGTCAACTAAAAACCCAGGTTTTAAAACATTGGTGAAAACCCATGATCAGAATGAAAGAACAAAAGAAAAAACTAACAATTGTTGGAGCTTGACAAAACAACTTGAGTTGCCATGTTACACTACCTTGGATAACCATTGTGATTAGTTTTTGTGGACAGAGCGTGTTGTCATACAGTTATTTTGAATCAATTTTCTGTATGTCAAAACCGTTATATCTTTAATGTTATCCATTTTATGAAATTCATTAGTATATATACAGATCATACTCCAAGTGAGCATAACCCTTTTGGAATTAGGTTTCATAAATTATTTGCGCTATTTGAAAATTTAATGATTATAAATACTGCTCTTTAGCATTGATTAAAATAGTATATTGACAACAGCATGGAAAGACGATCTCATTTGACTTTATTTCAGGCTCTTTACTATATAGACTAACACATACTCGTAAGGACGCTAAATGAACTTTTCCTTTCTGCAGTGAGTCTGAATTGCACCCACACGGAAAATAATTAAGCACAACAAGACTTGCAAATTAATTAAGAGATTTAACACCAATATATATATATATATATATATATATATATATATATATATATATATATATATATATATTACAAACATGCTCGTATTTTATAAAGTAGTATATCGATAACAGTGTGGAGAGACGATCATAAATATCACCATCTATCCTCGAGTCCAGAGGAAAAATATGATCTCAATATGAGACTTAAAATATTTTACATAAAAAAAAAAAAAAAAATAGAGAGAGAAAACTACAAATTCGGTCCGTGTGTATGTCAAAACACGGGAACCAAGTCCATAAACTTCAAATTTTCATAGAAACCCTTATAGACATGTTTCGTTATGGTTTAGTCCCCCTATATAACTTGTGTTTAATTTGATTTTTTAGATGAAACATGTGTCCTACACATGAGGATAATTTTGTATTTTCACCTATCATCTCTCTTCTAATCTATATAAAAACATTTTCTTTTAATCTCACATTTACTCCTCGTTTATTTTTCTTCCTTAAAGAGATGCTAATGGGCAAAGCTTCCAAGCCTCCGCCTATAATCGAACATGATTTTATGTTTTATGTGGTATATTGATAGTAGTTCACACTTCATGAATCGACAATAATCCAAACAAACGCTTATATAGATGTTTATTGAAGGTAATTTATTCTCTTAAAGTAGCAATTTTTTTCAACTTCTCTTAAAGTAGCAACCTAATACGTATTTCTTGAACATGAAGGGCTAGTTTTCGCTTTATAGGATGGTAGACCCTCCTATGTGTGCTCATTCCATCACTATTATACCTGGTTTTATAATTTTATTTGCAGCAACATATTTAGATAGGATATTGACATCATCATCATTTTCTAAAGCTATCAACCCAAAATCTATATGAGTTATATGTATCCTAAAATGATAATAGATTATTGGAGCTACCTGATAACCTAGTTTTTCCATTATATTGTTATGTTCGTTTCATGGACTAAAAATGTATCGATGTCCAGTAGGTCAATAATGTGAACTTACATCTGTGATGTAGTTACATGAACGTTGTGAGATGGTCACCCATTAATAACAAAAAGAAAAGGGTTTCAAAGGCCACACACACACACACACACATATATATATATATATATATATATATATATATATATATATATATATATATATATATATATATATATATATATATATATATATATGGGAGGGTTCAATTGAGAAAAAAAAAGTTAAGAACGAAGGAATAAATCCAGGCCGCTCATTTCGAATCTGCCGCTTAAACGCTCCAGCGTACCGGGCCGACGGAAAAGATCATATTCATTTTATGAATATGTATGAATAAATGTATTCATATGTGAATACGTATATTCATATATGAATAATTATAGTGAAAGTGGTTATTCGTATATGAATTAATATGGTGGCGGGTGGTGGCGGGGGTGACTGTTGTTGATGGTGGTTGGTTGTGGGCTTAAGGCCTCGGGACCACCTGATTGTATGCATGAACTTGTTTAAGGCCTCCGGATCACAGAGGCTTCAAGATATGTTGGGTGTATGCATGAACTTGTTTAAGTTAGGCATCGGGACCACCTGATTGTAGCAGGTTATTTTTTGGGCTTAAGGCCATGTTCGGGGTTCTTGGGCCATATTGGGCCTTAGAGGCCTTGTAGTTGGGCTTGGATGCCTTTTTAGGTCTTTTATGGATTTAGGCCTTAAGGGGAGGGAGGCCCATTGAGGCAGGGTTAAAGGAGCCCTTTTTGCCTTAAGTCAAGAATTAGGGTTTTAGACTTGAGTTCGAGATCATCACTTTAGAAGAAGAAGAGTAATCATAGAAGAAGAAGAAGTCATTCGTACATGAAGAAACCCTAAATCGATTTTTAAAGGAGAAATATATCATTTATTGGTTTGTCAATAATTATTATGCCATGTAGGGAAGGGTTATTTGAAAAACAAAAAAACCCTAAAAAACCCCCAAAAATCATAAAAATGCATAAAAAAATACCTAGAGATCACAAAACTTTTTTTTTGACATTTTTTATGAAAAAATCGCAGGTTTTTAAAGAAATTCGCTGAAAAAAATTTTGAAAAAAAAAACTTTTTTTCATAAAAAAAAAATAAAAAAAATTCATTTTTTATTTTTTTTTCAGCGATTTTTTATAAAAAAAATTATGTGATCTCTAAGTATTTTTTTTATGCATTTTTATGATTTTTAGGGTTTTTTTAGGGTTTTTTGTTTTCCATAGAACCTAAACATATATATATATATATATATATATATATATATATATATATATATATATTGGCATCATATTTTGTCATTTTTTGATAATGGAAAATCTTCTTTTGCGATAATGGAGCATCTTCTTTCATCTTTGTAAAAGTTGTTTGTTTTCTTGTAATAATTTAACATCTTATCTCTGCAGAGGATTTGATAATATTTTTGATAATTGATGTACTCACACAGTGTATAAATTTGATAACAGTTGAATAAATACTATTTGATAATTGATGTACTCACACAGTGTATAAATTTGATAACAGTTGAATAAATACTAACACAACGTAGTACTACCCCCCCTTGAATAACAAACACTTTTGCAAAATACCTAAAAAGGTATGACACCAAGGGTGGAGGGTGAAATACGAAATGAAAGAATACCTTACATTGAAGGTATAACACCAAAATTAAAAATTTAATTAATCTGCAAATGGATCATCAAAAGGATCTTGAGCATCTTGAAAATTATTTTTGACAGATGTGGGAGAATTTTCTGAATTAGTTGGAGAATTGCGAATTTCTTGAAGTAATTGTTGTAGATCTTCAGGGGAAGAATTTGCAGCGGCACGAATTTTGCTAATAAGATTAGCATCTGGAGAAGATAGACTCTTGATAAGATTCGCTTCAATTTCTGGCTTTTGATTATACATTGATTGATAATGATTGAAAACAGCCTGCTCGTTTGCTTGAGAAATTGTGACTTTATCCCACCATTTTAGACGAAATTGTCTATTGAGCCAAGGGGGATTTAAGTCTGTTGCTTCTTGATAAGAGAATGTCCAGGACATGATCCATGGAACTTTGAATAACATGGTGAACTGTAACAAATATTCAAATTCTGGGATTTGTTGAATAAATAGTTCTTTGAATTTAGAAAATCCTTTGAGAATTTCAGTGGGTAAACAAATTGGAACAAGTCCCATATAACGATACCAATTGACAAACCATCTGGGGTATTCACAGTTGAAATTTTTATCAAAGAAAATGAACCATGAATGAGAATAGTTTCGAAGAAAAAATGCTTTAGTCCAAGCTTCTTGGTAATCATAATATGAATATCTTGGATAAGCAGGGAATTGATAAAGGGGTTTTTCGAAGGAAAGATTGGATGACCAATTTTCTGGAGAAATGATTTTAAGAATTCGGGCTTTGCTAAAATCAATAGATCCTTCCTTATTATTAGAACGGTGATCAATCTGAACAGATCCAGATTCTTGTAGAATGGTTTGATAATATTCTCGAGATTTGTAAGAGTTTTCATGAAAGGTTTTTCCTCGACCAAAGAGGTGTTCAGTAAGAACATGAAAACCTTGATTAAGCTTAAGAATTTGAGAATCTTCAAGTATTTGGATTTTCAAGAGATTTGGATTGAGAACATAAGGGGCTTTATTTGTAGGTTTAGGATTTGTTGAAATTTGTGTTTCAGAAGGAATAGGTTTTGAAAAAGGGCTAATTGATTGAACTGGAGAAATGTTTGGAGTAGCTAGTTTTGATTGTAGCATGTTTGAATAAAGTTGAGAATTTTTTGCAATTGGAGTTAATGGGGAAAAACGATTTTGACTTGAGAAAGGAACAAGCTTTTGATTAACTGGTTTCTTGTCTTCAATCTTGGAGGAAGACGATGAACTCAT